AAAAAAAAAAAAAAAAAGAAGAAAGTGTCATTGACTCGACACATATATATCCTAGAATAAACCAAGAAAGAAATACTTCCTTACCTTCACTTCTCTGAGATTAATACATTCTTCCCATGAGTAATACTTTTTCTTCATTTTCTTTATAGCAACCTGTACATAAAACTCACTAGTGTTAAGAATAACTTTAAGTTTCATCAATTTTCATTTTAAATGGATAAACTATATGATTCAACAACAGAAGAACATCTAATATAGCTTCATGTGGCATACCACTTCACCAGATTGCTTGTTTAGAGCTCGCCAGACATTTCCAAAGGTGCCATTACCGACTTCTTTAATGACCTTATATCTGCACCGACCTTTATGATGCTGAATCCACCTAAAAGAAACTAAAAAGTATTCATAACAACAATGAATTCCTAAATATCATACCTTTCCATTTTGCAATCCAACAGCTCCTGATTGCTACTTACTGGATAACGAAAACAAGACAGAGATAAGTACGTTGTTGTATTCTGTAGACGACTGCAAACAAAAACTATAACGAGGCCTGACTGATTCAGGAAATTGATTATCAACTCATCCACAGTACTTGAGCGAAACCAACAGGATTATGATTCACGGGCTCCAGACATTTGTCGACAAAGTATTCCAAATCAAAGATTTTGAAACAGGGACAAGACTGAGGTAATGCTGTACAGTAAAACATCCTGATGCTGATCAAGACTGACCAACAATGTTAGGTGCGCAAATACATGTTGCATTGGATAAAGACATGGTTAATACATGTTTGTGGACATTATGTTCCTGTGCAAGATAATCAATCTGATGCAGCACTTCAATCGACTGAATACAGCTTCTGTCAACCGACCATCGAGCATATCACATAAAGGTAACTGAACATTATTCACTACCACTCTGTACAGAGCAACGGATATGTATTATTTTGAAGACTGTAAACTTTCTCTCAGAACTCAAAACACTCTTGTCCTGGAATGCAAAAAGAAAACGAAAACCAACTCAAGAAGGGTCCATTAAGTCATAGGTTAATAATAAACTGTGTAGTCGAATATGAAATATGAAGCAAAACTGAACACAGAAAAAACGAAGTAACAAAGTAAATACAATTAAATACCTCAGGAAAAAAGATTCCAAAGGATCAGAAAAGAGACGTTGCATCAACATTGGACAATCAGCGAAGGAATTGCATAAGAAGATCAATGGCATCGTAGAAGTAACGGCATAAGCAACTTCCCCAATATATTGGTTTATGCCACTCACTTGTAGAAGTGCACTAAAGATTCAACATCTACTATAACCATATACGCATTAACTTTCCCACACGGATCACTTCACAATAGCTTTTGCCTAAGTGCAATTGACAAAGGAAACAAGAAGAAAATCTCCAAGGATCGAAAATCGCCAGTCAAGAACTTCTTGGAATGAAAAGGCCCTATGTTGGTAGCAATCTGACCACAGGCAAACTTGCTCCATGTCCTGGATATATTAATTCCTTCGTATCAAAAGGTAACACAACCTGACGGGAGAGTGAGAAAGAAATGAGCCAAAAAAACCTTAAAGGACAACAAGAGTATAACACACAACAAATATATTGAACGAACACTTGAGAACAACATCACATAAAAGTCAAAAACAACTGAACCCCACGAAAACAATTGCCAACAGAATAATTCTCCACTATCTAGAACAGCGGAATCCATATAGTTCCTTAATATCTACAACAACATACATAGCATACTTCATCCTCAAACCAAGCAGCTTGATAAACAACACGGGCTGTCAGTATAGGGCAACACCCTACCCAGGGCAATATTTTATACGGTCACTATTTTCTTCGAAAGCAATCTAATAACACACAACCCTGCATCCAGAATTTACTTTTATAGATACCCCCACGCAGATATTCCCCAAATTTTCACCATGTTCCAGAAACCTAACCATAAGCAACAATTCACCCATGCTTGGTACAGAAAATTCCCATGAAAATAATGAATAAACATGAGTGAAGGAGATAAAGATCAAAATACCGCAAGCAAATAAACAAGAACAGAAAAAATAAAAAGCATGATGATAATCTGCGGAAACTTCTCCACAAATTTAACCTGTAAATATGAATCAAAACATAAAAGAGGCACAAAGCGAGAGCAGATCTAATCACATCTCAATCCTAAACGGAGGCAACAAAGCAATAACATACAAATAACGTTAATTCAGATTTTGGCATGTACACACACACACAGAGAGAGAGAGAGAGAGAGAGAGAGAGAATAGAGGTGCTTTACCGGCAGAGGAAACGGCACAACCAAGGAGACGAGACCCAGAGATGCGACTCTTTCTCTCTCTACCTCACTCCCTCCTGTGACCGTCGTGATTATTTTTTATTTTTGTTGTGATTTTTCCTGGTAATTAAAATTAAGCACCGTGAGAATCTGTTGGAGCTTTTATATAAAGGTTATGATATCGGTAAATATGATTGTGCGGCGGTCGTAAATTTTAGTAAAATATGCGAATATTTTGTTGGCTTTGCTTCGACCACAAGCAGAAAGGTAAATATATTAATTTTTTCTCACTCAAACTTTTTACATCCACGCGGAGAAGAAATAGACCCACCGTCGAAATTCTCCTCTTGGCAAGTAATAAAATATATCCTGTTACGAAATGTTTCCTTGTCTTTTGCAGTCGTAGATTTACATTAAATTAGTAATACGTAAATAATATACGCTTAAAAAATAAAATGAAACCATCTCGTAACGAGATGGTAGGCTCTATAAATATATACTACATGGTTTGTGGGGGAACATATAATATAATAGTATAATAATGCTCACCTATCTGCTTATGTGACATTCACACATTGGTGACGTATTTTTTGAACATATTAACATCACCAATGTGTGCATGCCACATAAACCGTTGACACATTAACATGTGCACATCGTGGATAAGAAAGCATTAATTACTCTATAATAGTATTAATGTTTTTTGTTATTTATTACTAATACTCAATAATGTCGCTTTGGATAGAAAGACCAATATCGTTATCTCAAATTCTAGTCCGGACTTCCAATCTTATATGTCTCTAAGTGAGATGTTTGTGTCTAAGCAAGAGAGCTGACGTATGTAGATACTATATTCGTCAGAGTGAAGGAACGAAGGAAGGCACGAGCCCTATAGAATAGAATGAATAAAGAGAGGTCTATGCACATACACACATACAAACAAAAATATAATAGTCACATGTATGAATATTATATTTAAAATCTTAATTTGTATGATGAGATATAATATTTTATAAACTAATCATTAATAAAATGGATACAACAATTATAAAAAATCTTACCTACATATGATTCAATGTGTAAATTGCACAAAATATAATGAATAATCTAATTTTTAAAAATTTAATTGATCGCGATTAATTATTTAGTTGAAAAAAATTAAATTATTGTTATTATAACAACTGTTTGTGCGAATTTAAGGATTTGTTTTACCATTGAAACTGGTTATTTGTTTAAATATTGATTAGAATTTTACAAAAAATATTAATTATAACATAATAGCCGGAAGAAAAAATGTTGCTATAATTATTTTTAAAATTGTTTAAGTTCCATAAACCTTTGCGTATAAATTCATAATTATTTTATATTAGTATTAAATATTATATAATAGAATAATTAAATAATTTTTTTACACTTATTTAATGAAAATTGTAAGTGTTACTTTCTATAATTAAATTAAATAACGAAAAAAAGGAATAACTGTATTAATTGGGTTGCTCATACATGTTTGTAGTATATAGTTTACCTAGAAAATTAAGCCTTACACAATGTCAAGATTAGATAAAATTTAAGGTCTACTTGGGCCCCAATATTTAATGTACCATTCATATCTTACAGCAGCTAACTTTTGACCAAGTATATTTGTATAATTGTGCATGCCCGAAATAAATAAAATCCCAAGGCAATGAAAATCTTATGTAATTAACATCTCCAATTGTTATTGTCTATATCGCAATAAATAGACGGTTTTTTATTTACGCGTACTGAATAGAATGACATTTTTATATATATCTCTCCAAAAATGTCTATACACAGTACACGTGCTTTTTTTTTAGTGCTCTAAAAAAAAACCAAAAAAACTTGTTTGCCAATAAACTTTGAACCAAAATTACAATATGTTTTGTAATATCTATACACGGTAAATATTTTTTGTCCTTCTTCTCTTTTTGTTCTAACGACATAAAATTGCAGCTGAACAAACTTTGAACAAGAAATCACAATACTTTTGTTCTAACGAAATAACAAAAAAAATTTGCAGGCCCAACAAATGTTGAATTTAACCAAAAATCACAATACTCAATAAAAACTAGTTT